AGGTGTTTATGTGAGACTTTTTTGTTGCTTTTTCCTGTTCTTATGATTATTAATTTTTTTGCTTTTTGTGTGTTTGGGGGCCACAATCAGCATTGCTCAGAGCTTACTCCTTACTTGGTGCTTAGGGATCACTGCTGGCTGGGCTCAGGGGGCCGTATGGTGCTGGAATTGCACCTGAATTGGCCATGTGAAAGGCAAACACCCTATCTGCTATACTTTTGCTCTAGCATGATTATTCTTATTTTGATTATTCCTTCTATTTTTCTTCATTTTAGGCTTGTTAATCATTCACTCATGTTTCAGTGTGGTATAATGATGATTAAAAAAACAAGATAATTGTTCTTGTCATTTTAATCGAGGATATATGTATTTATATAATTTTATTTCCCTTTTACTTCCCTTTACTTTTCCTTCTGGAGCAATAGCACAGCGGGTAGGGCATGTGCCTTGCACGCAGCCAACCCTGGTTCGATTCCTCCATCCCTATCAGAGAGCCCAGCAAGCTTCTGAGAATATCCCGCCTGCATGGCAGAGCCTGGCAAGCTCCCCATGGTGTATTCGATATACCAAAAACAGTAACAAGTCTCACAATGGAGACATTACTGGTGCCTGCTCAAGGAAATCGATGAACAACGGGAGGACAGTGCTACAGTGCTATTTTTCCTTCTGTTATTATGACTGGGATTCAGCACGTAGTTGTGGTGCTTGCAGCCACAACTCACTTTTTCATTGGGTGCCAGGGATCTCAAAGCAGAGCTGCCTGGAATGCATAAACACTCCCTTATTCCTTCAATGCAGGTGCTGTGCCGTTGAGTTATTCTGGGCCCACTGTTTTCTTATTTTCTCATTTCATTTTCTGGGTGTTCTAAGCAGTGGTCTAAAAACCTGGAGGCTACACTGGTGCTGTCTTAGTCGACCAAGTTGGATAGTTTGTGCTAAAGGTAGTATGTCAGTGATTGAGCCTAGGGATGTTTAGGTGATTCTGATGTTACCTGGGGGTTTCCAGGGCTGCACCTGGTGCTGCTGGGAGTAGGGCTTGTAATGTTGGGAATCATATCCTGGTTCTTGCTGAATTATATTCCTGGTCCTCATTGTTTATTTTCTTTGCAATTTTTTTTTTTTTTTTTTTGGTTTTTGGGTCACTCTTGGTGGTGGCTCAGAACTTACTCCTGGCTTTGCTCAGGGATCACTTCTGGTGGTGCTCAGGGGGACTGTATATGATGCTGGGATCAAACCTGGGTCGCCCCTATGCAGGGCAAACACTGTATCCACGATATATTATCTCTCTGGCACAATGTTTTCTTCTTGATTTGGCTTTTTAATTCAAATGTTCTTAAATTTTTTAATTTTTTTATTTGTAGCCAGGATAGCATGGTCACAATAATGTTTGCTTTTATACTTACCATGTGCAAAGTAATATCCCTATGTCACCATCAATGTGTCCAAGACCACCTACCACACTTTTCGTGTCACTGCTAGTGCACTTGCTTTTCATGCCCTACCAACAAGAATAACCTCAATTTTGGATTCGAAGTCCAAAGATACACTTTGATATCCTTTACTGCATTGTTTGCATTGTTTCCTAATACATTATATATGAGTGAGATGATCTTGATTTGTTTTTCTCCCTCTGACTTATTTCACTTAATATAACATCACTGTAACTCTATCCAGAGTGTAGCAAAAGGTAGAGTTCATTTCTCTCTCTCTCTCTCTCTCTCTCTCTCTCTCTCTCTCTCTCTCTCTTTCTTTCTCTCTCTCTCTGTTTTTGGGTCACACCTGGCAGTGCTCAGAGTGTATTCATGGCTCTGCTCAGGGATCTCTCCTTGGGACCCTATAAGGGTGCTGGTTATTGAACAGTGTTTTCCTGCTCACTGTCCTATCTGTAAGGCCCAAAGAGTTCATCTCTATAAAAAAAAATGCGATTTTTCCTAGAGAAAATTTATAACTTAAAAAAAAATTTTTTTTTAAATTTTTGGATCACACCCAGCGATGCTCAGGGGTTACTCCTGGCTCTGCACTCAGGATTTACCCCTGGTGGTGCTCAGGGGACCATATGGGATGCTGGGAATCGGACCCAGGTCGACCGTGTGCAAGGCAAATGCCCTACCTGCTGTGCTATTGCTCCAGCCCCGAAAATTTATAACGTTTTGTACGCTTCAATTTTTATCAGGTATTTATTGTATTTGAGCAGTTTTCTCATTTTACTAATTTTTTTACTACATAATTTTAACATGAATAGTTTTTAATATAAATTTAGACTTACTAGCATAAATTTTCAGTAGTAATTTTATTGAATGTTAATTTGACTACATATGCACTACATACTTAATTTTTTTAGTGCCATTTATATTGCAGTCTTCAAAAATATTTGTATTGATGTATACATTATCCTTAGAATTGTGAAAGAATTATAGGGCTTGGATTATAAACACTTGTAACAGTGTTGATGTTACTAAATTGTTACTTATTGGCTTCCAATATTATGTGTGTTAATATTTCTGAAAATAATGAGTGTGAGATATTAAACTGACAACAGAGTCTCCTGCCCCCGCACCTGGCTGTCCTCACCGGGGCCCATTGGAGGGGGGAGGGTTGAGTTTCTCTCCCCCGCCCCCCTGCCCTGAGCAGAGCCCCAGCAGCTGAGAACCTCTGGAGCCAGCCACGGCCATGCTGGGACCACTCTCCACACATCCGGATGGGCCTCATGCATGAAAGAACTGGCAGAGGAACCCAGGCATGCGGGTCCTGGGGCTGAGGTCTCCAAGCCTACTTGGATTGGGGCTGGGCCTTCTCCAACCAGACCCCCCCCATCTTCCAGTAGGTAGGCGTCATACCCACTAGCTGTCACCAATGCCAGGTTGGTCCCATCAACAGCCAAGACGCAGAGACTATAAAATCCAGCTCCCGGGTTATTATCTTATTTTTCCTTTGGAGAACCTGGCAGGCTACCAAAAGTATCCTGCCCAAATGGCAGAGTCTCGCAAATTTCCCGTGTTGTATTCAGTATGCCAAATACCAGTAACAATGATGGGTCTCATTCTCCTAATACTGAAAGAGCATTGAAATGGCTCTTGTAAAGTCTCAGGGCTAGGAAAAAGGAGACGTTACTGGTGCCTGCTCGAGGAAATCGATGAACAACGGGATGATCGTGATGTGAATGAGTGTGAATTTCAGTTTACCCTCTTCAATATGGTGTATTGTAATTTTTTGCATTGTGAGGTTTAAAAAAATGATAACTTGATCTCATGTGCTTACTAGTGAGATCACATTTTTTAATTTACTCATTCTTGGTCATTTGTATTGGATAAATTATGTCCTTTGCTTATGTTTTTTTTTAAAAAAAGTTTTCTATTGACTGCAGTAGGCCGTTTGCGTTGCGTGCAGCCAGCCCGCCGAGCCGGCTTCGATTTCTCCGCCCCTCTCAGAGAGCCCAGCAAGCTATCAAGAGTATCTCGCCCGCACGGCAAAGCCTGACAAACTACCTATGACATATTCGATATGCCAAACACAGTACCAACAAGTCTCAAAATGGAGATGTTACTGGGCCCGCTCGAGCAAAATTGATGAACAACGGGAGAACAGTGTTTGTTTGTATTGACTGTCCATGAGATAGACCATTACAAAGCTGTTCAAGATTGGGTTTCATACAATGATCCAACACCCATCCCTCCACCATTGTACATTTCCCACTACCAATGTCCCCTGTTTCCTTCCTACACTCCCCCTCCCACCCCACCTACCTCTATGGCAAGCACTTTTCTTCTTTCTCTCCTTTTGTGCATTACGATTTCTCATGTTATGATTTTACTAAGAGGTCATCTTTGTTCAGGATGTTCAGTATTTTTATTGGGAAGGTAAGGCTAGAGTAGCTTTTTAAATTTGGTGGCAACTTTGGGGTATTGACATGATTCCCGAGGCTTCTGGAAAGTACAGGGAAGTCAGGGGAGGGCGCCCCTCCCAACCCTGAGAAAGTCTGGAGATTTCGGACACAAAGTCTGCATGCTTGCTATTTTAGCAGATTATATCTCTGTGAGGTCTGGCCCAGGTTGGTGGAGTCTGGCTTGGGGGGCATGGTGGCGATTTTGGATTGTGGGAGCACGTGGCCGCCAGGACTCTGCTTGTGTGGCACCAGGTTGACACCCCACCCACCCCACCCCTCCACTCCCCCCTCCTGTTCTATTCAACCTTGAGCGGGTTTGAGATTAACTGAGACTGTTGATCTCTTGAAAGATTTATTTATGGGTCTCTGAAGCAAGACTGATAAATGAACTTGTGTAGCTGAGCCGGAGGTATTTTGTGGGCATGACTTCACATACCTAACTTTTGGCTATATAATTTCTCGGGGAACTTGGTCCTGAGTTGTTGGGATCTGGCCAGAGGCACCAGCTTTGAGTTTGGGATATTAGGAAACCTGAAGGCACATCAGGCTGCTGATGCACTCGCCCTGCAGCTACAGTTGATCTGCTGGTGACACCATACCTCCATGCCCTTTGCTAAATTTTTCATTGGGATGCTCCGACTTTATTGCCATTCTAAAAATTTAATCTTAATTTTCATTAAGATTTTTAATTGAAAAAAGTTTTTGCAATTTTGATAATACATGTACTTAAGTAATTACTTAATTCACTTTTAAGTTCTCACATATTAGAAGCTTTTTTTAAAAATTTTTTTTATTAGTGAAACACCATGAGGTACAGTTATAGATTTATAAATTTTTGTGCTTGGGTTTCAGTTATACAGTGATCAAGTACCCATCCCTCCACCAGTGCCCATCCTCCACCACCACGGGTCCCACCATCTCCCCCCCCCACCCCCCACCCTGCCTCTGTGGCAGGGCATTCCCCCTTGTTCTCTCTCCCTTCTTTTGGGTACTGTGTTTTGCAAGAGAGGCATTGAGTGGCAATCATGTTTGGTCTATAGACTACTTTTAGCATGAGAAGCTTTTTTACTTTTTATCTTCTGTGAAACTTTAAAGTAATATTTATTTTATAAACCAGGAACCTTTTGTGGCCGATGAGTATATCGAACGTCTTGTATGGCGAACCCCAGGAGGAGGCTCCAGAGGGGGCCCTGAAGCATTTGATCCAAAAAGGTGAAGTAAAAATAATGCTTTTTTCCATAGACTCAATCTGTAGTGCAAATTTCTGTATGGAGTAGAAATGTGCTTTTAATATTTAGCTAAAAAAAATTTTAGTTAGCACATGGCCAATGAAGGATGTAAGCATTAGGAGTTTATGATTTTTTTTCATGTTAATCATCTTATTTTAAAGATTATTTAACTGGTTTGAATGACGGATTTTATTAAACTGTCAGAGTTAAATATTTTGTTTTGGTTTTTGCCTATATAAAAACAATGTACAAAAACTACTCCTAGCTTAGTGCATAGGACTTTGTGGTGATGGGAATCATCTTGACCTTTGGTATATAAAGCACATGCACAATACTTTTCATAATTTTTTTTAGCTGTAATTGATTTTTATTCTGGGGTTAATGGAGATTCTAGGTGAGGTTTATATTTACATCAGAGAGGCCATTTAAAAGTCTGTAGTTAGAAGTTTCTCCTTGATATATCATGAAGTTACTGTGTGAGGCCTAAACTGCCTGTCTCCAGTCTGATTTTGCCGGAGATAAAAATGATTTCAGAGGTCAGGGTAATAGTACAATGAATAAGTCTCTTGCTTTATTCAGCATCAGCAGACTTGGGCTTGACTCCTCATGTAGTCCCATAGCCCTGCCAAGAGTGATACCTGAGCACAGAGCCAGGTAAACACTAAGTACCACTGAGTATGGCCCCAGTACAGAACCAAAAAAATTTTTTTTCTAAATTTATTGTGGTATTTTTGTTTGTTTGGTTATTTTTTAGATCAAGAGGGTGGGGGTTATTTCTCTATTACTCATATGTGTGTAAACCCTCACTGCCACAAGGTACCAGATGCGTATTTGACATTTCCTATACCATTCTACTCCAAGAGAGTTATTCCTTTGAAGTATCATACTTGAATCTTTAAAACTCCCTGGCAGAATTATATTTCAGTATCTAGAAGAAAACATCTGGTCCCTTTTTTCCCAAAGCAAACCACTTATTTAACAGAATGCGAATATTAATGTTCAGAGTAAGGTCATTCCTCAGTGAAATGAAGTAGAAACACGATACTATACTAGGGACATGTATGTGGTTTGCCACTGATCAGAAATTTCTACTAAGACCCTAAGTATTTTTCCAGTATTTTTTAACTTTTCTCATAACGACATCTAAGAACAAAATGAAATTATATCAAAGTAGCTAAGGACTACAAATAGCAGATTATTGTATTATACTTCTGAAACAAGTAAAAAGTGTATAACAATTAAACATCAATTTAAGAGCTGCAAAAATTCAAAACCAATGAATTGTTAGATTTCCCAGCTACATAGATCCAAGGTCTACTATGGAGACAAAGAGAAGAAAATTATTGTTGGGATTTTAGGAGTATTTTTTTAAAATTTTATTTTATTTTATTTTTTTTGCTTTTTTGGGTCATACCCGGCGATGCACAGGGGCTACTCCTGGTTCTGCACTCAGGAATTACCCATGGCGGTGCTCAGGGGACCATATGGGATTCTGGGAATCGAACCTGGGTCGGCCGCGTGCAAGGCAAATGACCTACCTACTGTGCTATCGCTCCAGCCCCAATTTTAGGAGTATTCCTTTAAGAATTTCTATGCAGACTTTGTATTGACAAGTGACAAATATAGGAAAAGGAAAAAGTGACTGTAAAGTTGATGAAATGATTTAATAATCTCCCCTTGCCAAATTTCCATTTTGAGCAAGAGTCAGGACAAATGGTCCATGATTGAAAGCCTGCCTCAAGGACTGGGGGTGAGGGTAGTTGGGACGGAGATGGGAACATTATGACAATAATGGTTGAAGGGGATTGCTCTGGATTGGACATGTGTGCTGAAAATGGGCAAACGACTAAACATGATGGCCTCTCAGTGTCTATATTGCAAACCATAATGCCCAAAAGGAGAGAGAGAGGGAGAGGAGGAGAAGGAGGAAGGGGAGGGCGGGAGTAATGGCTAGAGTGAGCTTGCCATAGAGGCAGACTGTGGGTGGGGTGGGGAGATTGGCAGGAGGGATACGGGGGATATTGATGGTGGGAAGTGTACACTGTTGGAGGAAATGGTGGAACTTTGTATGACTGAAACTCAATCATGAAAGCTTTGTAACTATCTCACGGTGATTAAATAAAAAATAAACTAATTAAAAATAAGCTGTATTTTTATTTATTGTAAAGTGTTGTGGTCTCTACAAAGCTATGAAGAAGTCATGAAATCACAGAGACTTGGTGTTATTGACTGTAAAAATTCTTTTTGGGGTATTGGGGAGGGCCTGCTAAGTGGTACTTAGAGTCCACCAGCACCATACCTGGTGGTTAAGGAAGACCCTTACTGTGCCAGGAATCAACCCCAGGGCCTCATACATGCTAGACATGTGCTCTGCCATTTGTGTTACAACTGTGACCCAGACTGAAGAAATTTTTGATTAACACATTAAGAGTAAATTATTGTCACTAATTTAAGAATGCATATTAAGATATTATTACAGGAATCAGAGAGAGAATATGTGGGATAAGGCACTTGCCTTGCAGGTGCCTGACCCTGGCACCACATATGATTCTCTGAGCATCACTAGAAGTATCCCTTGAGCATAGAACCAGGATTAGCTCATAAACACCTCTAGGTGTGGCCCAAACTCCCCACTTCCAAAATATTTGCAATTGTAAGTGAACTGGCCAATTTCTTGTGATTAGTCATAGATGGATTTATATATATTCTAATTTCTTATTAGATTATTAGAAGAATTTATAAATCATATTCACGAACTTCAGAAAATGGATGAAAGGATTCAAAGGAAAGTAGAGAAACTAGAGCAACAGTGTCAGAAAGAATCCAAGGAATTTGCCAAGAAGGTTCAAGAGCTCCAGAAAAGCAATCAGGTAAACTTTAAGTTAAGCAGTGAATAGGCGATTTTTATTTCTTTCCTGTTTAAGTTCTTTAAAAAAGTGTTAAATGAAAATAATTGTAAGGTTTCTCTCTAGCGTGCCTATCCCATGGGATAAAATATTAATGAATTCCTCATGAGCACTCTTGACACTGGCTTGCTAATGAATGTTAGTTTGAAATCATAACAGTACTTTCTTAGAATTGGATTATATCCAGTATAGTGTGGTCCTTGCTTCCTTTCTAATAGTGCAGACTTTGAAAATGATAGCTCAGCAGACTTATTTTTAGGTGCTCTTTATCATTATCATCATCATCATCATTATTAGTGTTGATAATAACATAGTCATTTTCATTTTTGTTTAATCATAAAACAAATACCGTACCAACTGTTTCACTCCATCATCTTTTTAGTGGAAAGCTAGTCTGGGAAGTTTCAGTAGTCATGAGTCTATATGCTCCAGTGAGAAGCAAAGTATAATTAGGAAAAGTAGATGCAGAATATTCCCTCAGTTTATTTTAGAATAAAATAATAATGAAACAGGTTCTAGGGCTAACTAAGCCAGACGTAAGCCCTTTTTACGCCCTAAAATTAATGTGAAATTCCTGAACCTCTTTCAGTCTGGGTGTAATCTGTAACTTGATTGTTCTTTATAAGAGCACTTAAGGAACATTGTTTAGTTCTGCTACTTCCCCAGAATGTTTGTTCATAAATGTTATATATTAATAAGTAGATTTCTGCTTGCTTTTTAAAAAATGATCCTTTACGCATATACGACAGGAAATATTTAATAACAAAGTCTAATTTACAAAGATAGTTTTTAAAAAGATTATTATTTTAAGAGGTAGATTTCAAATACTCAAAATGAAATTGACAATTCATCTAACATGCTAGTGTCTTCTGTTCTGCTACTTTTTAGTTGTCTATTATCAGGCAGTCTAATCTCTCTGCGTCTCAGGTTTTTCATCCATAAAATAGAATTTTTTTTTGTTATGTTTTGTTGGTTTTGTTGTTTTTTTTTTTTGATTTGGTGCCACACCTGATGGTGTTCAGGTCTTATTCCTGCCTCTGTCCTCAGGGATCACCCCTAGCAGTGCAGGGGGAGCATTTGGTGCCAAGGATGGAACCTCAGCTTTGTGCAAGGCAAGCACCTTGTTCATTGTGTTCTCTCTCCAGGCCACAGTTATTTTTAGACACTTAAATTACAGATTAGAAGTAGTTATAGTTTTCATATTTACTAACCTTTAAACTGAGTTTACAGGTTGCATTTTATGCTTATGTACACATTTTTTCTTAGGTTGCCTTTCAACATTTCCAAGAACTTGATGAACACATCAGTTATGTAGCAACCAAAGTCTGTCACCTTGGAGACCAGTTGGAAGGGGTAAACACACCCAGACAACGGGCAGTAGAGGCTCAGAAATTGATGAAATACTTCAATGAGTTTTTAGATGGAGAATTGAGATCTGATGTTTTTACAAATTCTGAGAAGGTAAGCACTGTTAGAAGGGTTAAAAACATAATATTAATAACACCCTAATTATGAATTGTTGTTATGACTTTTTCACAGACTAAATTCAAACCATTAAAATACTACCCTTAAAAAGTTTTTGTTGTTATGAAGTACATTGTTCTGAGATTAGAATACTTACCCACAGATTGCAAGATTGCAATTTTTTCTTTTGAGAGAGTGTCTAGGAACTATTCTTGGTCATACTCAGACCAGCGTTTAGATTTGATGGTTTAGTGCTTGAAATTGATGATAACTACACTCAGCTCAGGCGCCACAAGGGTTATCCTGACTGTATTTGAGGTTCCCAGGGCCACACTCACAGTTCTCAGGAACCACTCAGTCTACTGCCTCCTGAAATGTTTGTGGGGTCATGCAGTGTTGGGAATAGAATTTGAGACATAGAACATGCAAGGCATGCATTCTGCCCCTTGAGCTCTTTCTTCCCCTCACCCCAGATTCCTTTGCCCTCACCCTACCCCAATCCCACTGGATTGCCTGGCATATTTGTTCATGAAATTTCAGATTTCAGTGGCTTAGAAGTACTGAGATAATTCTATTCGTAATTGCTTCTTTTTTATAACTGACTTTATTCATTTATTTATTTGGTTTTTTGGGCCACACCCAGTGGTGCTTAGGGATTTCTCCTGGCTCTGTGCTCAGGGATCACTCCTGGCCATCCTCTGGGGGCCATATAGGTTGCTGGGGATCCAACCCGGGTCGGCTGCATGCAAGGCAAGTATCTGTTGGCCCCTGTACTGACTTGTAATAGTAATATAATTTCTGTTGTTTTGAGTAGTTGTATTCTTTTGAGTGAGGAGGTTGTTCAACCTGTTTTATAAGCTTTTTTTGTTAAGGAAATACTTATGTGTATAAGGAATTGAGAGCTTTTAGTATTTATTACTCGAACAAAGTTTTTATAAAAGGGTAAGCATAGTTTTGACCAAGGAAAATTGGAAAATCTTAACTAATTGACCTTTTTATTTGGTTGTTTTTTTGTGGCGACTAGACACTCAGAACAACACCTGGCTCTGTGCTTGGAGGTCACTTCCAGATGTGCTCAGGGTATCATGTGGTAGTGGAGATTGAGCCCTGGGCCTCCTACATGTGTCCGGTAGTTAAGATCTTTCTCGTACCTGGAGTTAATTGCTAATCCCCTTCAGAGCGTAGGTTATTTAATACTGGTCTATGGGCCACACTTGGTGATGCATGGCCGTTACTCCTGGCTCTGCACTCAGGAATTAGTCCTGGAAGTGCTTGGGGGATCGTATGGGATGCTAGGGATTGACTCCAGGACAGCCATGTGCAAGAAAAGTGCCCACCCGCTGCACTGCTGCTCCAGCCCCAATACTGGTCTAAGGGTGCATGGTATTGACTGTTCTCCAAATACAAAAGAATCTCACTTCCCTTCATGGGAAAAAAAAAATAAAATAAAAAAAAATAGATTAAAAAAAATTTCCTTCTCTCTTCCTCTTTGCCTTTACTGTTGTTTCTGTTATCATTGCTACAGGTGAGTGATGTACGCATTCCTGACTGCAATGTTTACATATTCTTAGCTGTGGTGCTTGTTGGGGGTTGCAAATCAGGTTGTGTTATTCACATACTTCATCATGGTCCTTGTTAAGTTTTGCACTCCTTAAGTTGTGGTGCTTGTACTCATGCTTGCCAGGGTCAGCAGTCTTCATTAAGGTGCAGAAGTTATGGTTGTGGTGATCATCCAAGTACTCACCAGAGGTCATATTTCTGTAGTGCTCATGCTTCCTTTGAATTACAGTGCTCACCAGGGGTAACATCCCTTGTTGCAGTTATTACTCAGACCTGACTCTAGTGATCTTTAGCATTTTTAGTATTTTAGGTTACTCATCTCACTCTAGTATCAATGACAGATATACACAAATTACTAATTTTGGCAACTTCTGTATTTACTATTGTGTGTGCGTATGTATATATATATATATATATATTTTTTTTTTTTTTTTTTTTTTTTTTTTCTGATGGGGTGATTCTGGTGATTCTGGGCCGTCAGGCCAGTGGTTCAGTGCAAGGGCCGGAGCACCAATGTAACTTCCAGCCCTGTCCTCCAGGAATGCTCCTAGCAGTGCTGAGGGTACCGAAAGGGTCAGACAAATACTGGACTTGTGCCCTAACCACTGTACCATCTCCCAACCCCAATGGTATGTTTTAATTGATGGCTTTCAAAGGTAGTGCTTTAAACAGTTATACAAAAGGATACCTGTGGGAACTCTAGTAGCAGCTTATTGCTGCGATCTTTGCTACCTTAACCAATTTGCAAACAGTATACTTTGGAATTTCCATTTCTTAAATGAATAAGAATAAACCTGGAAATTGGTCTGCCTTAGCTAGCACAGCGGTAGGGCGGTTGCCTTGCACACAGCCAACATGGCCGACCCGAGTTCGATTCCTCCGCCCCTCTCGGAGAGCCCAGCAAGCTACCGAGAGCATTCAATATGCCAGACACAGTAACAACAAAGTCTCCAATGGAGACGTTACTGGGCCCGCTCGAGCAAATCGATGATCAATGGGAGCGCCTTTACTTTACTTACTTTACTTGATAGCATGGAGCTGGCTTTGTACTAGGTAGCTTTATTCTGAGAACAGGAGGGACATTGCTATACAACTAGGTGACATGGTGAAAAATGATACTGCAGGGATCGGAGAGATAGTATAATGGTAAGGTGCTTGCCTTGCAGGACGCTGACTTGAGTTTGATTCCCAGCACCCATATGGTCCCCGGGCTCTGCGAAGAGTAAGAACTGAGTACTGGGTGTGGCCCAAAAAACACTGAAAAAGGAAAATGATACTGGAGTTGATACCTGTGTTGATGTGCAACAGCACAGAGTGAATGTGTGGTTATTGAGAGTGATGGTGACATATTGACTAGATGAGACACAGAAAGATGAATTTCACTATTATTTAGCCATTGTGATAGTGTTCAACCCCCTAGAGCATGTCAGACTTGAGTGAAGAAAAGGACTAAATCTGTATTGTCAGAAAATCTTACGGTAGATTTTTAAAGATCTATAATAATCCTAGCTCTTCTTTTTCGTAGTAGTCTTCTTGTCAAAGTTAGTGATTATAGGGGTGCGAGAGATGCTATGGTGGTTGAGGTGCTTGTCTTGCTTGCAGCTGAACCAGGTTCAATGCTCAGTATCCCATATGGTCCCCCAGCATCACCAGGAGTGATTCCTGAGTGCAGAGCCAGGAGTAACCCCTCAGCATCACCAAGTGTGGCCCCTAAACAATCAAAAAGTGAATGATCATAAAACGAATTATTAAATATATACCAAAATAAAACTCAGTAGTAATTGGAAATTTAAAGAATAGATTATATGTAAATTTAACATGAGAAACATTAAATCACTTTCTAAATATTAGTATAAAAATGCCAAATATCTGCATCTTAATAATTTTTTTACTCTTTGCATAGATCAAGATTTCAGTATAAATGTTTCATTGACTCATTATTGGTGATACCTCAGATATATTCCTATAGTTCACAAGATTTTGTTTGTTGTGGTAGGTTCTAGAGAAATGTTTGGGTGAAGATCTGTGGGCATAGATAGGGCATTATTAGCATTATCAAAATAAGATTTAATATATACTTGATTAGGGTTAACTGCTTTTATTTATTTTTTAATAGATAAAGGAGGCTGCCGACATTATTCAGAAATTGCACCTAATTGCCCAGGAGTTACCATTTGATAGGCAAGTTTGTTTTTCATTTATTTGCATATGGCATTTGTGGAATAAAATTTTATTTTTCCTTGTATAATTTTGCTTATAAATTTATTAAGAATATAAATTATCTCCTTTGTACAAGATACAGTATACAATAATTAATTGAAGAAAGATGGTCTAATAATCTAAATTTAATGTTATACATTGAAATAATTTCAGGTTTTTTTGTTTTGGAAAAAAATGATGAATTTTGAAATTGATTAAAGTAAGATTTCTTAATTTCTTTTTTCAACTTTGTTGCTAAAACCTAAATGGGAGTGATGGGAAGAGTTTAAACATGGGACCATTTAGTTGATTTTTCTTACCTAGATTAAAGTTTATAAAATTTTAGGATCTGAGACACCTCAAAAAGCAATACTAGTTAAATACTCAGACCTATAAATTGTTGTATACAGTTGTATAGCACTTTCAATTCTTTTGCCCTCAGACATCTTTATAGACTTAAAGTTTTTAAAAAAAATCTTCTTTTGATGGAAAATCCTGAGGCCATTACTAAATAAGATATATTAATGGTTTTATTTTAATAATAGCTGTGGGGGTAGGGGGAGTACTGGAGAAAATATCGAGGCGGTAACACACTTTCCTTCATATAGCCACATTGATTATGACCTTGGTTCGAATCCCTGGCACCACATAGTGGTCCCCCTGAGCGTCTCCAGTGGTCATTCCTGAGCACAGAGTCAGTAATAGCACCTGTGCATTGCCAAGTGTATTTGTCACCCTCACCCTCATCCCCCACTTCAGTAAATGTTTTTCAAAGAACCTTTACTGGGAAAAATGTTATTTTTTATTTTTGGCCATACCAGGTGTTGCTTGGGGGTTATTCCCAGTGGTGCTTAGCATCATGCCATGGCAGAGATTGAACTGAGGCTCTTGAATGCAAAGCACATGCTCTAGATCTTTGAGCTATTTCTTTTCCCTCAAGAGGATCTTTTTTAAACCAGCCATTTTATTATTTTGTTAAACCGTTTAAGTTTTACTCTGCAGAGTAAAGCACCTACATCAGCATGAACCGTACTTTTTTTTTTTTTTGCTTTTTGGGTCACACCCGGCGATGCTCAGGGGTTACTCCTGGCTCATGCACTCAGGAATCACTCCTGGCGGTACTCGGGGGACTATATGGGATGCTGGGAATCGAACCTGTGTCGGCCATGTTGGCTGCGTGCAAGGCAAACGTCCTACCCGCTGTGCTATCGCTCCAGCCCCGAACCGTACATTTTCTTCCAAGAGGCAGTTAAATGGAAAACTGGATTATGATCTGGTTAATTATTGGGTATGGAATTCCAGATGGAAGATCTTATGATCTACATCTGATCCATGAAGCTAGGCCGCACTCCCACCATCCAGGGAGTTGGTTGGCTTTTCTCACTTCATCCTGTTCAGGCCTCCAACAGCCTCTTACAGTCAGCCATGTTTGACCTAGGAGGCAAATCTTTGCCCACTGATTTTTATTTCTGTTGTTTGAGAGGCCAGACACAGGGGTGTTCAGTGGTTCAGGTAGTACCAGGATCAAACCCAGGCCTCCTTTATGGAAAGCCTAGACTCCAGTCCACTGGGGTATTCCCAGCCCACCCGAGAATTTTTTTTTTAATTTTTTAAAATTTTTTTTATTTTTATTTTTTATTAGTGAAACACCATGAAGTACATTTGTAGATTTACAAATTTTTGTGCTTGGGTTTTGATTATACAATGATCAAGTACCCATCCCTCCACCAGTGCCCATTTTCCACCACCATGGATCCCAGTATCCCTCCCACACCCATCCCACCCATCCCACCCTGCCTCTGTGGCAGGGCATTCCCTTTTGTTCTCTCTCTCCTTTTGGGTGTTGTGGTCTGCAAGAGAGGCATTGAGTGGCAGTCATGTTCAGTCCATAGTCTACTTTCAACATGCATCTCCCCTCCTGGGAGGATCCTCCAAACACCCTTTTTTTGGTGCTCCCTTCTCTATCCGAGCTGCCCTTTCCCCTAGAATGCCCGCTGGCCTCTTAGCCATGGAGTAATCCTCCTGGTACTGATCTTGGCTATTCTTGGGTATTAATCTCCTATTTTGTTACTTTATGTCCTCCAGATGAATGCAATCTTTTTATGTCTATCCCTCTCTTTTTGACTCATTTCGCTTAGCATGATACTTTCCATGTAGTACCACTTGTATGTAAAATTCATGACTTCATCTTTTCTAAGAGCTACATAGTACTCCATTGTGTAGATATACCAAAGTTTCTTTAACTAATCATCTGTTCGCGGGCACTCAGGTTTTTTCCAGATTCTGGCTATTGTAAAGAGTGCTGCAATGAACAAACAAGTGCAGATGTCACTTCGACTATACATTTTTGCCTCTCTGGGATATATTCCCAGGAGTGGTATAGCTGGGTCAAATGGGAGCTCAATTTCTAATTTTTTGAGAATGGTCCATACTGTTTTCCAAAATGACTGAACCAGTCGGCATTCCCACCAACAGTGAAGGAGTGTCCCTTTCTCGCCACATCTGCGCCAGCACTGGTTGCTTTTGTTCTTGTGGATGTGGGCCAGTATCTGAGGTGTGAGGTGGTATCTCATTGTGGTTTTGATCTGCATCTCCCTGATGATTAATGATGTAGAGCATTTTCTCATGTGCTTTTTTGCCATTTGGATTTCTTCTTTGAGAAAGTTTCTGTTCATTTCATTGCCCCATTTTTTGATGGGGTTGGATGTTTTCTTCTTGTGGAGTTCAACCAGTACTTTACATATCCTTGATATCAACCCATTGTCAGATGTGTATTCGGCGAATATCCTTTCCCATTCTGTAGACTGTCTTTGTATTTTGGTCACTGTTTCTTTGGAGGTGCAGAAGCTTCTTAGTTTAAGATAGTCTCATTTATCTATCTCTGTTTTCACTTGCTTGGCTAGTGGCGTGACATCTTTGAAGGTACCATTAGCTTCAACGTCATCCACCCAAGAATTTTTTAAGGATTTCCATTAGCCCACAGAATCTTATTGCTTAATAAAATCTTAATGTCATAGCTCTAGTTATCGCTTCATCCTATATACAGTTTTCTTTTTTTTTAATACCTAGAAGTTTATAAAGGTAGACAATAAGTGTATATTCAAACTTGGGGTGTTATTTTTCAAAAAATGAGGAATAATGAATTTCCATAACTTCCTCCCCTCATATAGTAGTCCCATATATACCCAAACTTATTTTCCTTTTTATTAACATCTTAGGTTTCTATGGTATTTTTGAAACATCTAATAAACCTCATTATTGGTTTTTAATTTTCAGATTTTCAGAAGTAAAGTCCAAAATTGCAAGTAAGTGGGGTTCTGCTTATTTAACTGTTTTGTGTAGGTACTAGTAAAACTACTAGTTTCAAAGAAAAAAAACAAACTAACATTAAAAGGAGCAATAATGTGACTAAAATCCTCTTACTCTGTCCCTGACTTGATTCCTCTTCCTTTACATAGTCATTACCAATTTTCTTGGGTATTCTTTGTATATACAAGTATAGGATATAAGTCATATGCAAATCATAAATCATTATATACATAGATGCATGTGTGTATATAATGGTAAAGGTAAGGTAAAGTCCCTCCCGTTGTTCATCGATTTGCTCGAGCGGGCCCAGTAATGTCTCCATTGGAGACTTTGTTGTTACTGTGTTTGGCATATCGAATACGTCACGGGGAGCTTGCCAGGCTCTGCCGTGCGGGCGATATACTCTTGGTAGCTTGCCGGGCTCTCCGAGAGGGGCAGAGGAATCGAACTCGTGTCGGCCATGTTGGCTGCGTGCAAGGCAAACGCCCTACCGCTGTGCTATATAATGCATATGTGTATATGTAATGTAACTTCTGTTATCACAAGTATGTGATTTGTATATATGCATATGTGTATATAATGTAATTTCTATTATCACCCTTATTTAAAAATAATGGTAGCACACTATACAAATACCTTTTATACCTTGTATTTTTTCAACTAATAATAAGTCTTATGGAATGTTTTGTGTCCACAAATATTTTTCTAATATAAACTTTCAGGTTTTTTTTTAAATCTTAAGGTCAGATAAATGTTTTACTCCTAATTTGTTTTTATGATTGGTGTTTGCCAATCTTTGAAGTGTATTTTAGACAGATCATTTTAGGTTTTTTGAAAAAGCTATTATTTTCAGACTTCATTGTAGCTTGGGCTGCTGTTTGGGAGGCAATTGTAATAAAAGATTACAAAGAAGTAGAAAGAACTACCTATTGTCCACAAGTATTTGAAAAAGGATTCTATGTATAGTTGGACCTCTTGACAGTGTTTTTTGATCACCACAGCATAATCCAGAATTCCAATTCAGAATCACAATAATTTTAAGAATGTAGTGAATTAAGTATCACATATTGTCATTTATTTTTCATTACTTTATTTTATTTTATTTTGTGCCAGGGCTGAGATCCATGTCTCATTCTGCTGGTAACACTGAGCACAGAGCACATCCCTGACCCTTCACATAAAATTTTAAGATGAAATTTTGGTGCTGTAGACTTTTATTCTAGTAGAGTTCTATGATTCTCTTCCTATTTTCCATAACTTCAGGCTTATGTTTTTTCCATCTGTTAATTTCAGAAATAACATCCAGAAGATTTTTTTTTTCCAGCAAGAGCTTTTTAAAATAACAATGGAAAATGGCCGCCTTTGGGAATCCCATCTATTTTCTGGTTTGGAAGATTTTTGTGTCTTGAAAATAGAAATATATATATACCACAGTACCTTATAGAGACTAGATCTACTGTGACCCCATAATATGTTTATACTTTCAAAAGTTGGCAAATCCTTAGTCATTTATTACTCATATGCTGTTAATAATTTAGATTTGGCTCTCTGAATGACTTTATTGTTTTTAGGTAAATACCATGATTTAGAATGTCAGTTGATTCAGGAATTTACAAATGCTCAAAGAAGAGGTGAAATCTCCAGAATGAGAGAAGTAGCAGCAGTTTTACTTCATTTCAAGGTAAATACTATAGAAAAAGTGCAAGATTGACTAGTCTAGATCAATATGTTATGAAGTCAGATATGTCTATTAAAGATGAAATATGCCAAAGTAAAGATATGTGTATGAAGTTTTGGATCACAGTTTGAAGTTTGATAGTTATTATTACTATTGACCACTTACTGGCAAACTTATTTCATTTTTACATATAATACTTTTTTTGATTATTATTTTTGTTGAACAAGAAGAGTAATTATGTATTTATTTCTTCTTCACAGGGTTATTCCCATTGTGTAGATGTCTATATAAAGCAGTGCCAGGAGGTAACATAACTACATTAATTTATTGGATTTTTTTCTCATTTGTATTTTAAAAGCTATTTTAAAATTATACATAGTTATAGACTTACTACGTAAAATACTTCTTTTTTAGGGTGCTTACTTGAGAAATGATATATTTGAAGATGCTGCAATACTCTGTCAACGGGTGAACAAACAAGTTGGAGATATCTTTAGTAATCCAGAAACAGTGCTGGCCAAACTTATTCAAAATGTATTTGAAATCAAACTACAGGTAATTTTAAATAACTGGTGATTAAAATTATAAATAATTTGCCTAGTTCTTATGACAGTGAGATTATTTTTGAAGGGCAGGGCCAGGGGTGGTATTTGGGTCACATCTGGCAATTCCTTAGGCATTACTGTAAGTCTACTTGGGGAGATTTCCCAGTGCCCAGGATTGAACAGGGGTCAGCTAAAAGCAAGATAATAACTTTCACCCCCAAACTGTCTCTGGTTCTGAGTATTTCTTTTATTATATAATTTTTTTTTTGGAGATGGAATAGGCCTAAAGTATAAGTACAGTATATTTCTTCAGTTTTCCATCTAGAGATTTGACTTATGTTCTATCTATTGGCTTCAAGTTTTGCATCTGAGTAAAATATCCCAGAGAGGCAAAAAGGTATAGTGGAAGTGACATCTGCAATTGTTTGTTCATTGCAGCACTCTTTACAATAGCCAGAATCTGGAAAAAACCTGAGTGCCCGAGAACAGATGACTGGTTAAAGAAACTTTGGTACATTTACACAGTGAAGTACTATGTAGCTGTTAGAAAAGATGAAGTTATGAAATTTACATACAGGTGGTACTACTTGGAAAGTATCATGTTGAGCGAAATGAGTCAGAAAGAGCGGGATAGACACAGAAAGGTTGCATTCATCTGGGGAACATAAAGCAACAAAACGGGAAATTAACACCCAGGAATGGCTGAGATTATACCAGGAATTTTGCTCCATGACTTCAAGGCCAGCCACAGGTGAAAAGGAAGCTCAGATAGAGAAGATAGTACCAAATAAAGGGTGTTGTGAGGACCCTCCCAGGGTGGGAGAAGCATGCTAAAAGTAGTCTATAGACCAAACATGATTGCCACTCAATGCCTCTCTTGCAAAACACAGGACCCAAAAGAAGAGAGAGAGAACAAGGGGGAATGCCCTGCCACAGAGGCAGGGTGGGACGGGGAAGATGGGGGGTGGGAGGGATGCTGGGACCCGTGGTGGTGGAGGATGGGCACTGGTGGAGGGATGGGTACTTGATCATTTTATAACTGAAACCCAAGCACAAAAATTTATAAGTCTATAACTGTACCTCATGGTGTTTCACTAATAAAAAAATTTTTTAAAAATATAGTTTATTCAGATAACATTTTGGGGAATAATAATAAAAGAGAAAGGAATGATAATATCATGCTTTAAAATTGTTTTTCCAGAGAAAGTCCAGAACCTGTTATCAGGTCATTTGTTTGAAGATAGGTTTTGTTTTGTTGCAGTAGCAGTAGTGGTAGTAATAAATTTTAATTAGGGTAGCCTTGGATTTTTTTTTAATTAGGTTTGCCTTGTCCAGGATGATATATATGAAATTAAATAGGAATTACAAGTGCTTTCTGTTGAAAGTTCAGTGAATTGTTACCAACATGAAAAGAAAAACACAGGTAGAGCACATTTTTGCATATATGAGGTGCACTGGCTTTAATACCCAGCACCAGAAGAGAAAGAAAAATCCCACGTATCTCACTTACAATCTTGACATCCACATTTTTTCATTTTTGTTATTTGTTTAGGGGTATGAAGATGGGATTGGAGGGAGGAGGATGGCACACGTGGCGGTGCTCAGGGAACTGTATTGGGTATTGAACCTGGGTAGGCTGCACACAAGGGAAGCACCTTACCCGCTGTTCTCTCTCCAGTTCCCCTGTGGCACCAATTTTTTGTTTGTTTGGGGGCAACACCCATTTGTTCTCAGGGCTTGCTTCTGGCTCTGAGCTAAGGAATCACTCCTGCCACACCTAATGGACCATAAGCGGTTCAAACCTGTGTCAGCTGTGTGACCTGCCATGCTATTCTCCAATGCTTTGTGGTACTATTTTTTTTTTTTTTTGGTTATAAATCTCACTGATTTATTTCAGAAAGCACCTTTCAGGAAATAGTGCATATATTTTTAACATTTATTTTTGCAACAGTAGTGTTTGAAAATTATAATTCTAAATGACTTATTTTCCTATTTATAGCCTCTTCAGGCTATTTATTAAAGGTCATTGTTTAATACTTCATGTTTCATAGTAAGATAATTTTGTAACAAAGAAAAATCATATCTTTTAGCACTTACTTATTTTTGTGTGGTACTGTTTTTTAAGACTACATTTCCTAAACTGTCTTTGTCACTAAGCAACATTAAATGTTTATTTTTAGAACACAATGCAGGGCTTGTAAAGGTGTTTAAAAATATGGATATATGTTATGATTCTAAAGCAGGATACAATTTCCCAATTTTATGGTATTGCCTGTAACTGTCTTAAGGGACACTAATGATTGGGAAATGGTGTTTTAAGGAACTGACTCTTTTGGTTCTACCCCAGGATTTGATTTGTTTTGTTTCAGCTTTTAGACCACACCCAGCAGTGCTCCCAAGCTACTCCAGTGCATTATTCAGCAGTGACTGCTGGTGATACTCAGAGTTAGTGCCAGGGATCACACCCCGTTATGCAAAGCATTTGCTCTAGCCTTTTGAGATTGCCTTGGTCTCTTTGTTTTTTTTTTCCTTTTTAAATATACTTCGCAAGACAGGATAAGTTTCAGAAGGAGATATTTTGATATTCTTTAATGTCAAGTCTGAGTTATTTCTGTAGTTAAATATTAGAAGCAGTAAAACTTAGAAATATTTCTATTTTTATTAAAGGTCTATTTTCTGTATGTTGCCCTTTTTATTGGAGTTTAAGATTGTACAATCAAAAATAATTTTAGAGAAAAAATCCTTGACTAATATTTTCATTATAACATCTTAAATTGTTAAGTGTATTCATTTATACACATAAGGTTACACATGTATTCTTGTGAGGATATACAGGTTTCCTCCACTATTCAAAAATGAAATAATCCCATTTTTTATCACTAAGTAGATCATTCTTTTGACCTATGAATGTTATTACTATTATATGGGAGATTTTCTAAGCATTTCATTATTACATGAAAATATTTTTCATGAGCAGAGATATACAAGAATTTTTACACCGCAAAACTAGCTGTACAACTAGAAACTAGTCAGAAACAAAATGTGTTCAGCATCCTAGAAGTTCACCTTTTTTTCTGCTCCAGTCTGTTCTCTCTTGTTCCTGGGGTTAGCCACTATCTTGAACTCTAATGATATTGAATAGTTTCACTTTTGATATTTCATATAGAATAAATCATATATGTACTTCTTTTAAAGAGCTTATTGACACTCTCTAATCAGTATTTCTGTGAAATTCATAATTGCTTTTGCTAATAGCTGTAGATTACAGATTTTAATTTTGTTTTGAATTCCTCTATATAATAACAATTTTTTTTATCTATTTTACTACTAATGGTAGCTTCTCAGTGGTTTCTGATTTAAGCTATTACAAAACCAGTTCTTTGTGAATATTCTTGTACATGTTTCACTGAACTTAAGGATTCATTTCTTGTGAGAGAATATACAGATTTCCTTCATTGCTCAAAAATAAAATATTCCCATTTTGTTATCACTAAACAGGTCATCCTTTTGGCCCAGGAATGCTAATGTTATTAATTTATATGGAAAAATTATTGAGCAATTTTAGACTCAGAAAATAATCTACCGAATCATGCCAAATATGAATGTTTTACTCTTGGATTGTGGGCATACTTATCTGTACTCCAAAATTATACCCTGTGCATCTATGTTTAATAGTTTCTGAAGAGATAGTAATAAGTATCCCCCACCAGCAGCTTCTAAGTGTATACATATTTTGGACTGTATAAATTAATACTGACTTTATTGACAGATGACTTTTTCTTTTTTAGAGTTTTGTGAAAGACCAATTAGAAGAATGTAGGAAGTCTGATGCAGAACAGTATCTCAAAAATCTTTATGATCTATATACAAGGTATATTTTCAATTGTTTGAAAATAGTAACTTCTCAGATTTTCTTATTTTTAAATAGGAAATGGAAGTGTGATTAGTTACTTTTAAATAATATTTTTAGCATTATATCTTTAAGCATTAAATGCATATATATGAGTAGCATGCCCACTTTAAGAGTTTAGAATTATGCTTTATATTATGTATAATAAAATCTTGAGGAATTTTGTGTCTGATTTTACTTCTGAAGTAGTTCTCTATTCTTTGTTTCCTAAAAGCTAGTATAATTGCGTCTATTTGCAGTTATCACTTTAGATATTGAAAAAGAAAGTGACAGAAATTCTAACAAATGGGTTCTATCTTGAATTTTGATGTAAAAATTTGACTTTTTGTAAATGGCAGTGTTACATTTAGAAATACTTTATCAGAAGCTTTGTATTAGAGTGCTTTTCCAACCTTTTTTCCTGTTCTCTGCCATCATGAACAACTTGGTAACTGTATGTCTCATGGCGATTCAGTTTGAGAAATAAAATTGCCTGTGGTTGGGGATATGCATAATTTTGAAGGAGGGCTTTGAAAAGTAGTCATTGTTAGAAAGTCCATCTCAGCAGTATTGGTAGTGATTTTTCTTCAGCAGTGTGATACAAAAAGTTATAGGAAAGTTCAAATAGATGAAGACAAAACAGCATGATCAGAGAGTAATTACATGCCTGTCAGTTCTTTACTTGAGTACCGACTCTTGAATGGCATTGAGCATATTGAAGTCACACTGCCATGGTTGCTATATCTAGACTGGTTTATTGTGTCACTTTCTTCCTCAGTCATCCCTGGGAGTTTATAGAAGTATTCTATATTGTTAGTATTAGATATTCTCCTTTAAATGAACCTATGACTGCTTTGCCTATCCTAAAAAGTTCTTCTCAAGGTTCGAATACAGTTAAAGTTACACTGTGTGTGTACACACACACACACACACACACTCACACACACACACATGATCTTTAGTATTCTTTACTTATCTAAAATGTGTATTAATCTTTTTTCCTCTTTTTCATAAAAAGAACCTCCAATCTTTCCAGCAAATTGATGGAGTTTAATTTAGGTACTGATAAACAGACTTTCTTGTCTAAGCTTATCAAATCCATTTTCATTTCCTATTTGGAGAACTATATTGAAGTGGAGACTGGATATTTGAAAAGCAGAAGTGCTTTGATTCTGCAACGCTATTATGAATCAAAAAACCATCAGAAGAGATCGATTGGCACAGGAGGGTGAGTTTTTTTATATAATGTTAGAAAGGTAAAAACTTTAATATACTGGACAAACTTATTTGTCAAATATGATAGTCATTAAAATGTTAAGAACTTGTTTATACTATTGGTAAAATTCTGTTTTCTTGAACTAAACATATAAAATGAAATTACCTGATAGGATTAAAATATAAAGTAGACAAGTACTATGTAGAGTTGTGTAGTTTTAAACAGTAAATTTTTTCACATTATTAAATGGGAAGTAGGAAAGTACATAATTTTTTGTTGGTGTTGGTATGTTAAGAAAACTGAGCAAATAGTTGACAGTTTAGGTATGCTTAGATTTTGGGGTATCAAACATTTTTTTTTCTTTTGGTGGGAGCCACACCTGGCTGTGCTCAGGTCTTACTCTTGACTCTGTATTCAGGGATTACTCCTGGCAGATCTCCAGGGACCATATGTGGTGCGAGGGTGCAAGCCCCGTTTAACTTCAATCAAGGCATTAACCATTCCACTGTATATATCTCTGGTCATAAGATTTTTTTTTTGACCAATACATTAAAGCCTATAATTAATCTCATACTGGAAAATTGCTTTCTATAAAAGTTGTTGGCATTCTAGTTTTCAAAATCTCAATTATCTGGAACTCACTTGAGTCTAGGATGAAGCAAAATGACTTTATCCTAATGTGTGCTATACATTCAGACTGTAGGTTACACAAATATGTATGCACATTCAAACCAGTTTCTCAATTTGTGTATGTGTGTGTGTATATATATACATATATATAAATTCATATTTTTTGTATTTTGTATTTTATTGTTTTTGAGTTAACACCCAGCAATGCTGGCTCTGTGCTCAGTGAGTCACTATTGATATTGCCTATGGTATCATATGTGGTACCGGAGATCGAATTCAGCTACTTGCTAGGCAATAGACTTCTTTGTGTGTGTCCTCAATTTGTCTTCTTAGTGATGGGGGAGGATATAATTAAAAATTATAAATAACTTGTGAAAGAAAAGAAAACAGGAATAGTTAAGAACTTCGTTAACAAATCAAATCTATATATTCTAGAAGCAAACAAAAAAAGCTGACTTTCATAGAATACCTGCATCAGATACTCAGTGACCATTTAACTGTTAGTCATTAAGAAAAGCTAAATTATGTTTAATATCTCACCGTCTTGCCCCCGCTTTTATTTCCCCTTATTTTGGTATTTGGAACCATGCTTCACAGTTCTCAGAACTTACTCCTGGCTTTGTGTCAAAGATCACTTCTGGCAGGGTTCGGGATACCAAAAGGGGTACTGAGAATCTGGGTTAGCTACATGCAAGGCAAGTGCCTTACCTGCTGTATTCTCTCTCTAGCCCCATGGTTAATATATCTTGTTTAATAATAATGGAGAAATGTGTAAATGTTTTAAGCGATTCAGTATAATTATAGACATTTAAAATTTGTCAGTATTATTTTAAGCAGAATCATTTCATTATTATGAATATGAGCTAAACTAGGGTGTCTCACTTTTTCAGGTAACCAAGCAATTAGTTTTTGTCTACTGATTCAGAATTGTAGAACTTAAAGATAATTGCAGATGCACTTATTTTTTCAGAAGAGTCTTCTTTTAGAAATGTTTGCTTTACTTCACAGAACTAATATATTGGAATTAGAAAGTTAGAGTCTCATGGATTTTCTTAAACTAATTTAAGAAAAAATTGATTTTTTTAATTGATCTGTAATGTACTAAATTTAAGAGTATTTGATTGAAATCTATGTAATCTCTCTCCCCCGCCCCTTTGTCAATATGATGCACTAGTATTCAAGATTTGAAAGAGAGAATTAGACAACGTACCAATTTACCACTGGGACCAAGTATTGATACTCATGGGGAAACTTTCCTATCCCAAGAAGTGGCGGTTAATCTTTTACAAGAAACCAAACAAGCCTTTGAAAGATGTCATAGGGTAAGAATTATATAAAATTTGTTTTATATATTGTCTTGGTTATACTAAGATAAAAATCTGCTCTCTGGCTAAGAATAGTTATTTCTTGTTAATTAGATTTGGATCAGATTTTGAGATAGGAATATGAGTCGAGTGTGGCACATGTCTTTTTATTTTTCCTTTTTTAAAAACTTTTATTTTCATAAGGTTGTTAACAGTGATTACATTCAATATTTCAACACCAATACCACCCAGCATCACACCTTCCCACCACCATTATTTCAAATTTTTCCCTCGCTATTCAACCTGCCTGCCAGGGCAGACATTAGATAATTTATTTTCTATTCCTTATTATGAATATCATGAGAGATCGCCTCTGGATTCGAAAATTGTAAATGATTGAGCTGCAGAGACATCTCTGTAGGGAGCTAATCCATTTTTGAGATTCATTTGTGAGTCTCTGGATCAGGGCCATTAACGTGCTGAGATGGTGCCCAGAGGCAGTTTGTGGGCATGACAGCCAGGATCCCAAGCAGTTGGGAGACAGGAAAGGACAGCCCATCCCCGCTGCCACCATGTGGCTTGGAGTCTTAGTCCCTTATCCCGCATACTTGGGTTTTTCTTCTGGAAGCATGTGGCCACCAAAAGTTCATCTGGAGTGGGCGGAGAAGGAACACCCACTCCATCTGAGGTGCCCCAGTGGAATTGGCTTGGTACTGTCTGGAGAGAGCTCTGGTGAGCTGCTGTCTTCTGGGATTCATTGCTGAGTCTCAGGTTCAAGGCTGTCCAGTGCGCTGAGATGGCACCTGGAGATTGGCACATGTCTTAAATATGTGAATTCCTGGGTTTGATTTCTAGCATCACATGGTCATCTGAGAACCACAGGGAAACCTCTCCCCCCAAAAATAGAATAGGATTTTTGTTTTTGAAGCAAGATTTTTATTACTAGTTTTTAAATCTTTTGGCTTTGGGGTCATACCCAGAAGTACTCAGAAGTTGCTCTTGGCTCTACACTCAGAAATTATTCTTGGCTAACACAGGAGACCGTTTTGGGTTCGAGGAATTGAACCCAGGTCAGTAGCATACAAGGCAAATGCCCTACCTCCTATATTATTGCTTTGTTCCCACAAGATTTTTTTTTTTTAATTACTAAGTGGCTAGAGCGATAGCACAGCGATAGGATGTTCACCTTGTATGTGGCCAACCTGGGTTCGATTCCTCCGCCCCTCTCGGAGAGCCTGGCAAGCTACCGAGAGTGTCCCGTCCGTGCGACAAGAGCCTGGCAAGCTCCCTGTGGCATATTGGATATGCCAAAAACAGTAACAAGTCTAACAATGGAGACATTACTAGTGCCCACTGGAGCAAATCAGTGAACAACAGGACTGTGCTGCAGTTATATAACATTGTAACAATTTTGTGAAGTTGGATTTATTCCATTTTAATAGTTGAAGAAGTAGAAAATATAGTTCTTAAGTAGTGGAGTTGAGAGTTGATGGACTAGTATTTCTTATATTGATGGATAATAGGTATTTACATTAAGCATATAAATCAATAAATTTTGAACTGTGTACTTACATGCAATCTAAATTATTAAGGGAAATTAAATTCAGAAAAGGGAAAAATTGTCTTTTTCATTGGGTTGGCAGAAATTAAGGTTTAAGGGTAAACAGGTGTCAGAGATGTGGAACAATAGAAATCTAATGCCAGAGAAAGAGAAAAAATGGTATAGTTAATTTTGAGAGTAATTTGGAAACTCCTTAGATTGTCAGAGTGAAAATTTACAAGCATACCTGGTGTGTTTCTAGAATTGATGATCATATTCATAACATTAATTGTACACTAGAAAACAGATAAGTTTATTTTTATTTATATTGAATCACCATGCAATATAGTCACAAAGCTTTTATTATTGAATTTCAGTCAATTAGTACATTTTGCACCACCAGCGTCCCCAGTGTCCCTCCTATCACCCCATCCACCACCCACCCCTTGCCTCTATGGCAGATAATTTCTCTCTCTCTCTCTCTCTCTCTATCTCTCTCTCTCTCTCTCTCTCTCTTTTGCGCATTATGGTTTGCAATACAGATACAGAGAGGCCATCATGTTTGGTCCTTAGTCTACTTTCAGCACACATCTCCCATTCTGAGCAATCCCTCCAACCATGATTGACTTAGTGATCCTTTCTTTATGCCAACTGCCTTCTCCCCTAGCTCATGAGGCAGGCTTCTAATCATTCAGCAGTCCTTTTGGCCCTGCTGAGGGAATTTTAAATGGCTAAAGTAGAGTTACATGTGACGATATTAATCTCAAAAATACATTATTAGCAAGCTGATGGAAAGATATGTTCAGTATAATACCACTCTATAATAAAGTAAAATAATACTTTATATTGGGCTGGAGCGATAGCACAGCGGGTAGGACGTTTGCCTTGCACAAAACCAACGTGGCCAACCTGAATTCGATTCCTCTGCCCCTGTTGGAGAGCCTGGCAAGCTATCGAGAGTATCTCACCCGCATGGCAAAGCCTGGCAAGCTACCCGTGATGTATTCGATATGTCAAACACAGTAACAAGTCTCACAATGTTACTGGGCCCGCTTGAGCAAATCGATGAACAACGGGAGGACAGTGGCAGTGAATACTTTATAATATTACATTCGAAATACATTAAGACTAGAGATGGCCTTGAGGGATGAGGGACATGTTCCCAAGCTATTTGAGCCATATTTATATTGGACTCCTCCACTCACACACTTTAATAAAGTAGAAAAATCAGTACATTTGGAAAAATGTTAAGATATGACACATCTAAGGCTGGAGCAATAGCGCAGCGGGTACGGTGTTTGCCTTGCACGCAGCTGACCTAGGTTTGATTCCCAGCATCCCATATGGTCCCCTGAGCACCGCCAGGAGTAATTCCTGAGTGCATGAACCAGGAGTAACTCCTGTGCATCGTTGGGTGTGACCCAAAAAAGCAAAAAAAAAAAAAAAGATATGACACATCTAGGTGGGTAATGAGTATTTGATCAATACCTTCGCTTTTTTTTTTTTTTGAATAGTGGGAGTGTTAAACAATTTTATAAGCCTGAAATCATCAAACATTAAGTTTTCAGCATTATTAGTCATAGCAATTAGCTATCTGGTTACTTACAAGATTGTCCTGTCTGGAAAGGACCTGTCTAGAAAATTACAATATTGAAATTTGGTTAGATTCACTGCAGTCTATTCCAACAAGTATTACTATGTGTTTACTTCAAACCATCTTTTGTGTTAAATACTGAGGATGTAAATATAATACATGGACCTTTTCAAGTAGGAACACCTATAAATAATTAGTTCAAGGTAGGTATATACTGCTTGAACCATGAAAAAACAACTCATTGAGTGGTTAGGGAATTGGAGCATACTATTTATCAGGAAGTATTTTCAAAAGAATGGCATTGAGGCCTGAATCTTAGAAGATTTGGGTATTTTTAAGATGATTATTCTGGTAGGCTTAGCTGGTAGGCTTAGGTAAGGTAGGCTTTCTGTTCTCTGATTTTAGGCATAGAGAGCAGTAAGTGAACAAAGGCATAGGCATATAAAGGCATAGGCATATACAAAGATCAGTCATTCAGCATAAAGTGCCTCAGTTCATGGGAAGAATAGTAAGAGAAGAGTTTGAAAAGTAATGAGAAGAGGTCAAAGATAATAATGCAAATGTTAAAAGATATTAAAGAGGACCGTGTAATGGTGGGTAGTTTTTCCCCTTTTTCAAAGATAACAATTAATTGACCTTCAGTAAACTGTGGCAAACAGTACAGTTTGATATTTATGGTATATGTACACATTTGTGAAGCTATAACTGATGTCAAGACAGTGAACAGATAATACACATTCCAAAAGCCTCGTCTTGCCTTTATAAACCTCCATATCTGTCTTCAAGGAACCAGTGAACTACTGTATGCCATTTTGGGTAATGTTCAAAAAATAAGGGAACAGATGAGCCCAGGGTTTATATATTATCTTTTAATTTTTTAAAATTTAATTTTTATAAAGTTGTTCACAACTTTATTACATTTAATATTCCAATCCCACCACAGTACACCTTTTTACCATCATATTTTGAGTGTTTCCACCCAGACCCCCAAACCCTGCCCCCAAAGCAGGGTTTGGGGGTCTGCCCCCTAAATATTTTATTTTGTATTGCTTGTTACAAATAATCAGCTAAAAATAAAAAAAAAAAACCAAAAAAGTTTCCTCAGAAGAAAGTGTGTGAAGATCGTTGTATTTCATCCTGGAGCCATTAAGCCCTTGTATAAGAGATTACTAACATGTTGTTAAAGGTTGAGCCTTGTGTGCTTGTGTGTGTGTTTTGTGTGTTTGTGTGCGCATGTGTGTGTATAGACGCATTTTTCCTCCCCACTATTAGTTGCTTTCTACTTTACACCCCATCAAATGTGGTGTTCTAGTCTTGGTACATCTGTGGTGTACATTATGAGATGTTAATACAACCACATTCGTGGCCAGGTGCTCCAGGAATTCTAAAATTTTAACTATACAGCTAAGAGTAATTTAAAAAAATTTTTTAAAACTTGATGGTGACTTTGGGGTCCAGAGTCATCTCTGCAATGTGTTGCTCTCTTCTGAGCGATTTATTTGTGAGTCTCTGGATTATGGTTGTTATAGTTTAGATGGTGCTGGAGGCAGTTCGTGCGTATGACAGCCAAGCTACCGAAAGCACACGTAAATGGGGGAGGTAACTTGTTTCCGACTCCATGCCAGCCTGGGGATTTCATTCACAAGTCCCGCATACCTGGGTTTTTCAGCAGATTCACTCATGGATGAGGCTCATCTGAGCCTATGGAGATCAGACATGAACATGGCATTAATTGAATTCTGGAGGTTTTCATATGTCAGGGCAAGAAGGGGAACTCACCCACTTCTCTTTGGGTTGCCCCAGAAGAGACAGCCTGGCACAGGGTCCAGAGGCATATCTACAGCATATTGCCCTTTTTTTTTTTTTAAAGTTTTTACTTCTTTT